GGGAAGAAGCTGCAACACTTGCTATTGTTTGTTATGTGTAAAGGTGTGGTCACGTAGCTTAGTTGTTAGATCCATTTGATTGCAATGATGATGTCGATGCCCACTTCGACAATGACGACAATGCTGTCGACAATGCTGTCGACAATGCTGTCGATGATGATGATGATGATGATGATGATGATGATGATGTAGTCATCAGTGCAGGTAACAGCTGGTTGAAGACCACCCTGTTGGTTCGAGATGGTTCGTGAGTGTTGCACGAGAGATGGGTATTTTCCTGTCGTCGCTGGCAGTCAAGCATGCCGAAATCAACTTCATGAGATCACCCTGTTGGTTGCTGTGTGAAAGATTGGTGTTTTCCTGTCGTCGCCGCAGTCAACCACGCGTAAAACTATGAGCACGTCGAAGTCAACTTCATAAGACCAACCTTCATACACAAATGGTTAACAGGGACTCCCATTTTCAGGCCCTGGGTAACGAGTCCAAAACTGAAATTAGGGTTTTCGGGTCGTATTTTATGTTTTGAATTTTTTTTTTTTTTGCCTGTTCTTGTTTTGCTTCAAGCGTGGTGTGTGCCAAATTTTGTGTCATTTGGACAACTAGAATTTCCTCTGTTAAGATTTCTGAAATTGAGATGTTGGCGAAAGCTCATGAAAATGCACTTTTGCCTTGCTGTTTTATATGTTTTTTTTTTTTGGATTTTTTTTGGATTTTTTCTTGCAGTTAGTTAGTATGGTCTCCACTCTACGAATTGGTGGCAACTTTGATAAAAATGACCCTTTGGTTTTCATATAAATGGCATCATGGCAAGTGGTCTGAAAATTAGGGTCTCCGTTAACCTTCTCTCGACTTACACGTGGTTATAAACTGGATATCAATTCATAATATATTTGTACGAATACATAGTCTCCCAATAGAAGGAAACTGAGAAAATGTTCACAAATGTATCAGTGATTTAGTGCCGAATATTTGCACAAATAGTCAAATACATAGTCATGCCGTGGAAGGAAATGGAATGTTTGTCAGGTTATAGTGCGCAAGGTAAGAGCAACGTGTTTTTTTTTCTTTTTTTTTTTCAAATGAATGACAACGTTGTTGTCGCGGCGATGGGGCGCACAGCGCAATGATGGCTGTGAACCTTGTGATGGGTGGACCCCCAGCTTGCAAAATCTATGGTGCCGCCGGTGCGCAAAAAAAAGCAAACAGTGCCGGGATTGTGCGTGAAGCTGTGCAGCACATATTCGAGTAGTGAAAAAAAAAAAAAAAAAAAAAAAAAAAAAAAAAAAAAGAGGGGGTTGTAGGCTTGTAGCTAGGTGTCAGAAAAGCAATCTGAAATGCAGAATTGTGTTATTTTAACTTATTTTCGGGAAAGTAAGTTTTCCTGGGACACGCCGTGGATCTATTTCTGTTCTTTTTTTTTTTCTTTTTTTTTTCGGACAGGATTGGACCAGGATGGAAATGAGCTGGGATGGGCTTTTGCTGCTGGCGACTGGCAGGGGGTGTGTTACATACTCGTGAAAGTATCAACGAGCATGGGGCAGAACCAAAGATCAACCAATGTAGGATGAGCATGTATGCAGCGGAAGTCTGATAAACGGACTGACTCACACAGATATCACTCCACACACATACAATCGTGAGATGGTGGGGTCTGGGCCAAGCATAGACGATGCCCAGATCCCGTACACACATGCACAGATGAAAGGTGGGAAGAGAGACGAAGGAGGTGGGGGAGGTAGGCAGCAACGAAGGTCACCGAGGTAGAATCCGATAGGTCACCGATATGGTAGTCCAAAATGTCACCAAACAAGATCAAAATGTCGAGGACAATAAGTCACCAATGTCGGAGATACAGAGTCCTAATGTAAACGGTGTCCGAACTGTGATGCTGCCGAGTATCAACCCCAACAATCTCCAAGTCTCGAATCCGGTAAGTACCACAGCCTCATACCACCGAAGTCCAACACTGATCTCTGTCCAACTAGTATGAAGTCTCCAATCTGAAGAAGAAGAAGAAGAAGTCTGAAGAAGAAGAAGAAGAAGAAAAGAGTCGAGGAGGAGAGAGAGAGAGAGGGGACTGGCGATGGGAGGGAGGAGAGAACCTCCGGCTTCCGATACCTCAGGCGGCTATGGCCGCCGATCTGCTCAGTCGCTGCTGCTGCTGCTCCGCTCGCTGTCGCTGCTGCGATACTGCTGCTGCCACTGTTCCTCGTGCTCCTGCGCTAAGAATAGCGCTAGCGCTCTGGCGCTAACCATAACGCACCGCTAGAGTGCCGGTGGTTCGATGCCTCAGAATGAGGCCGGACCGGTCTTTTGTACCGGTGGGGCAGAGGCCGGCCTCAATGTTGCGAGGCCTGGCCCAACCGGCGGGCGGCAGCCTCAAGAGCGCCGCCAGGCCCAAACGGTAATGTCGTTTGGGCCTGCCCGTCGGGTCTGGTCCAAGTCGTGGCCTTTCGGCCTGAAAATCCCCCAAGGTCGGGCCTTTACGCCCTAATGTGTCCCTCTAACCCTAAGTCGGGTACGGTAGGACCCGTGTGGCATCGAAGATGTAACAGTGTGTTTTGCTAGTGTGTTGAAACAGGCTGATGGATGTAGTAATCGTGTCTCCAGCGCGCAGCGTACATTGTCATCCGTCCGTTTCTGTTTTTTTTTCTTCTTTTTCAAAGGGAGGGTAGCACATAATCTTCTTGTGTTCAAAGGCATTTGAACTCTGGATCTGTTTTTCTACCTCCAGATTTTATCATTTATGTGTGGAGTACTGTGTATGTACTACTTGTTCATGTGTGTAATCATTTATGTGTGTACTCATTTATCATGATTTATGTGTGTGTACTTCTCAAAAGTTATCATCCATCATGGTCATATCCTGTAATCCCTGCTCTTTGTGATATGTATTGGGATTGCAAAGCGCTGTGGGCAGGGATGTTGTGAGTTGTTGTGTATTGGGATTGCAAAGCGCTGTGGGCAGGGATGTTGTGAGTTGTTGTGTATTGGGATTGCAAAGCGCTGTGGGCCAGCTCGCCACCGACCTTCTTCCTCTATTTTGTGGACAGCAGTTTTTGAAATCTGGACTTGTCTCTCTCTCACAGAGGTGTGTTTGGCACTCAGCCACGGAGGACGACTTGTTAATGTATGTCTTGATGAGGACGACGTACTGAAATTGGAAAAGGCACTGTGCGTATGTTGTGTTGTTAAACGTTTTGCACAGTTAAAGCACCAGTACCTCCTGTGTTTTTAGGCGTTGACGCGGAGTCTGGCTGAATTGGTGCGCCGCGGGGAGGCATATGCATTTGCGTCAGAGGGGGCCTAATACCCTCTGGGGGGGGTACTGGTGGTTTAAACCGCTAGTACACGGCCCCGGCTTTGCAGAAAGTTTTTGTTGCCACAAGCAAAACTCGAAGGCGCCGTGCGGCAAGGGGCGGCGTTGGAAAAAAAGAATCAGCAGCCTCCAAAGTGGTGTGGGTGTCATGCTGACCCCCGGGGCTGATGTGTGGCGTACTGGGGTGTTGGCAATAAAGAATTAGCAGCCTCCGAAGTGGTGTGGGTGTCATGCTGACCCCCGGGGGTTGATGTGGTGCGTACTGGGGTTTTAACAAATTGACTGCGAGCGCATACATGTTACATTCCTTTTTTTTTTCCCTATTTTTTTTCTTTCTTTTTTTTGATATGCATATGCATACCTTCCTCGGCAGAAACTTAGGGACCAGCCATATTGCTGCTATGCTCATGTTATGAAAGTGCGAACCTGGCCACTATTATGGTCAGATTCATGGCTTTCAACCATGAATATAACACCAGTGGTGCCTGGCCGGTATTTTTCCAATCTGTTTTCTGCAGTCGTCTTTTCCCACCCTATCAGATCCTCCCGCAAAAGAGGCTGCAAGGTGTTATTCATACTATTGACTTTGCTGAACGAATGCAACCACAATCACAGCCACATTCTGTCGAAAAGTGAAAGTTTGATTGCATCCTCACTTCACATACCTGTTTTTTTTCTTTTTTTTTGCCATTTATGCAAAGTCTTCGCTGGGGCACATAGCCAGTTGCATTTTGACTGTTCTTCCCCACCCCCTCCCCCCCTCCCCCCTTCCCCCCTTGCTCAGGGGTCCATGCTAATCTTCTATATGTATCCTTGCAACAAGTATATTGATGTCTTGAAGGACATTATTGATGACGTCATCTTGTGTAGCCCAAGGGGCGCAACACACAAAGTGGATAGTGCTGCACATAATTGGACGATTTATGTTTGTCTATGTTTGTGAACCTTGCGTGCAACAACCATGCTTTTTTTTTTTTTTTTTTTTTTTTTTTTTTTTTTTTTTTTTTTTTTTTTTTCCCCTTCGGTGCGCACGACCATGCATGTCTCAGAGGACATTTCTTGCCATTACGCATGGCGTAAACCACCAGTATTTGGCCCATACATTGGCTGTGGGGCGTTGTCATCTGTTCCCCGCAATTTCCGCAGGCGCGGGGTACCGGCCCTCAAAGGCTGGCAGGGCGGCCTGAAACGGCACGCAGCCTGTTTACAGGCTCGGCATCGATAGCTGGGCCAAGTACTGGTAGTTTAAATCACCAACAGGGCAAACAATGCTGCCAGGCGTACTAATGTACAGTGGGACGCTGGCCCTGATTTGCAGCAGGTGCTCCTGCCCACCAATGGACAGGAGCACCCAGGAGTTTTGCTAGGAGGGAATGTTCATATCACCTTTTCTAGCAAGGAGACTTAGTGTGTTGTTTCTTGTTGCTAGACATCCCATTTTTCACTTGTTTTCAAAGATTAGTGCCAAAATAGTTACTTGTTACTTTGTTCACCTTCTTCACTCTCCAAAATAGTGGGGGTGATTTTTTTTTTACTTTGTTCACCTTCTTCACTCTTCAAAGATTTTTTTTTCAAGGAGTTTTACTTTGTTCACATTCTTCACTCTAGTTACTGGAAGTTTTTGGGGCAAACCTATGTGGGCATTGTGGGGGTGATTTTTTTTTTTTTTTTTTTTTTTTAACCAAACTTCACAAGTAAAATCTTCGGCATTTGACCCCTTTGAAAGAAGGGGGGAGGGAGAGGTTGGGGTGTTGGGGGGGGGGCGAGGGGGAGGGTCCAGGAAAGAAGATCTGAAAACTGTGTGTGGGGATTTGTAATGTGAAGAATGATGTACTGCAACATGTAATCTGGTGCACTAAGGATGAACATGTAATGCTCTTATGCCTTGCTTGCACTTGGTCTTTTCTGAGCACAGCGAGTAGAGTGACACTTGTTCATTGTGCGATGAACATGTAAGCTGTCTGAACTGATGTTGACATGCAATAGATGAGTGCAGCCACCGTCTTCCCCCCGAATAGAACGCCCAGTCATTATCACTGTATCTAGACTGAAATTCGCATCCAATACACAGCTATAATGACCAGCTGTTCTATTCGGGTGAAGAGCGGAGTGACAATGCAACATATTCCCTTTGTAACAGATGCAAAATAATCAGGCATCAACAGCAAGGGTTCATGGTGCCTTCATTTCATTCATTAGTGGATACAA